CTTCCTCGCGCGGCGCTGGGCTGGGCTGGGCTGGGCTGGGCTGATGGCGATGGCCTTGGCGATGACCTGGGGCCGCTTGCTCTGGAAGCCTGGAGCCGTGCAGCTGCGCGGGGCCCCTACCCGCCGGTTGCGTTTTTCTCATCCCCGCGGTGAACGTCTGCCATCGTAATTTACTGCTGCAGCCGCCCACCCCGTCTGTTGAACGGCCGTTCCCCTCCTCCTGAGCTGGGGTGGCCGACTGCCGGGGGCCACGGCTAAGGGCAAGTGATGTACGGCTACCGGGCGGTTCTACAAAGCCATTGTACGAAACCGCCGCATGTCGTGAGGCCATGAAATGGCACGCTGTTGGAGCTCCGCTGTTGCAGGAGCCGATGCCTAACAGTAAGCAACTCGCAAGAGCAGCGTATAACGCCGGGGAAACAACTGGGTATGCTTTGAGACCTCAGAGATCGCAGTCTCTGCACCGGTTGGCCCTCCAGCTTCCTAGGCAGTTTGGAAAAGTCCCGGCAGTTTGGTACTGCGGTTGTGGTTAGCATCATATCAGTCTGCGGTTTATTCTAGCACTGGCTCAAACTTCCCTCTGCTCCAGGTATAGCGAGGCTGGTAGTGGCTGTGCCCCACCCACCCCCAGAGAAATGCTGAGGGGCATTGCTACATCACCAGCGGCTTTTGTTAGGCGCTTGTCGCTTGTCTCTCTTGAATCCTGGGTGGTTCTGCCCCCGCCCCCAATTTGACGGTGGTGCTCTGTGCTCTTCCTAGGAGCGCTCACAGGAGGATCTGGACCAGGAGTGGGAGCAGTATGTGGACCATCTGCAGCAAAACTCCAGCGACCTCCATCAGATTTTTAATTCCCTCTGGGCCTTAGACAAAACCAAGGTACCTCCCAGAAGAGCTGGGTCCTATTTTATTGAGAATTACTTCCCGAGCTTTGTTATGGCTCAGTCAAAAGGAGGAAGGGCTGGGGTGAGGCAACGACCCCAGAGGGACCCAGAAGGCGTCATTCACTGTGGCCTCCTCCTCCCTGGCAGGTGGACCCTTTGCTGTTGTTGAAAGCAGCCCTCATCCTGCAGAGCTGCCAGCGCTGTCGCCACGTGCTGGCCGGGTGCATCCTCTACAAGGGCCTGTGAGTATCTGGGCAGCTGGGCTCAGAGTTGAGACTTAGGGTCTACCGCGCTGGCAGTTGCTGAGCGGGTAAGGACTGCCTCAATTCAGTCAGCTAGCCCCCACAATGGCTGTGTGCCAATTCAGGCCTAGATCCCTCTACCCCGTATGCACACGCCAACGCGAGCGCCTCTGCATGGCAGAGCGGTTGAGAGCCTTGTCATACACTTGGTCGGACCAAAGAGCTTTATTCTTCAGGGACTGGCAGCTGCGCAAGGCCTGTGCGGGTGATCTCTCCGCCTTTTCCCTGTGCAGGGTGGTCAGTACGCAGCTTCCACCGGAGCTCACCGCCAGGGTTTTGCTGCAGAAGAGAGCAGAGGATGAAAATGTAAGTTGTCGTTCTGTCCTCGGTGGGTTTAGAACACGCGCAAATATCTCTTGGATGATTCTGGGTATACAGTGGTACCTCGGGTTACGAACGCCTCTGCTTACGAACTTTTTGGGTTACGACCAGC